GAGAGCAAGAGATTTTTGATATAGAGTGCATATACCCAGAGTGTGCCCAGAGTTCGTTTCAAGCTGCCGAGTCCAGGACTCAAACTGTGGTCAGATATGTGGGAGTTCAATGATGTAACCATTACACAATCTGCTGGTCCCCCAAATCTTAAAAATAAATTACTAAATATAATGAAAGCAACTAACAAAAGGAAGATCAATGCACATTAAAAAATGTAAATAAAGCCATAATTATCAAAACAGTATTCAACATTATACTAATGCAGAAATTAATGAAATGGCATGAATAGCTCCAAAACAGAATTACATATACTTAATGTATTAAATGACAAAGATGGTGTCTTACTCTGGGCTGCTACAACAAGGTAGCTTAGACTAGGTAATTTATAAACAACAGACATTTATTTTCTCACAGTTCTGTAGCCTGGGAAGTCCAAGACCAAGGCCTCAGCACATTCCATATCTGGTGAAGGCCCAGTCCTCATAGAAGATTCCTTTTATGTGTCTTCACAGAGTAGAAGGGGCCACCAGGCTCTATCAGGCCCTTTCATAATGGTGCTACTCCCATTCGTGGCCTTCATGAACTAACTACCTTCTAAAGGCATCACCTTTTAATATCTCCTTGGGAGTTAGGCTTCAACATATGAATTTTTCAAGTCTACACATATTCAGATCACAGACGATAACATGTTCTGGCAGTAGAAACATTGGAGATTATTCAATAATTGGCTGAGTCATTATTGGCAGTAAGGTAAAAAGAGAAGAGAGAATGAGAAAAGAGAAAAGGGAGAAATAGAAGCGCAAGGACAGAGGTTGAAAGAAGGGAAAGAAAAAAAAATTGACTTCAACACTAAATTTTTAATATAAAATGAAAGCTAAAGAGCACTTGAGGGAAATTTAAGACTTTTCTAATACTAGAGATTAAAATTTTTAACATGAATCAATGCAGGAAAAGACTGATGAATTTGTCTAAATAAAATTGTTAAGCTTCCTGTAGAGAAAAAAAAAAACAAATAAATATTTGCATAGAACACAATAGTTGGGGAGTTTCACTGCCATTTTCCTCCCTGAATTCAATAGTCTAGTCATAGGAAGCCTCTTTCCTTTCAGCAAATGCCCCATTCTTTTTCAGTCCTAGGCATCTTCACAGATGTTCTTTCTTCTGACAAGATAGAACTGAGGGGGTGTTCTTTCAGAATGGATCAGAGCCTTTTGCAGAGTCCCTGCCCCCACTAAAAACTGCACTTTTCTTCCAGAGGAAAAAAACTTGCAGACACACTAAATGTTTTATTGATGAAAATACATATTGCCACTTGATTGAAACAGTTGTGCTCAACAACAAGGCATTGTGTTGCTTTGTTTTTATTTGAGCACATCATAAAATAAAATATGACACTGCCATTTAAATGTTCAAGGAATCAAATCTAACCTCTACCTGTTTTTGGAAATAAAGTTCTATTGGGATGCAGCCAAGTTTACTCATATACATATTATCTATGGTTGTTTTCTCTCAACCACAGCAGAACTGAAAGTTGTGACAAACCCTGTGACCCAAAAAAGCCAAAAATATTTGCTACGTGTGCCTTAACAGAAAACATAACTAACCGTGTGATGGTAGAAAAGTTGGTGTCCAGGTAGATGTTTATAATTTATTATTAAACTTGTTAAGGCATAATACAAATGGGGGGGAGCATATTGTAAATTTAAATATATATTAAGTATACACACTATATTATCTAACTACAATCTGAACTATATGTACATATTATATCAGAAGTCCTTCAAAAAATGTTATTTCAACGTGTTGAGATTACCCAGCTCCTTTCTCTTTGCTTCTCTGCTTTATCCAAACTTTCTATAATGAATATTCATTATTTTCAAAAGCAGCTAAATATATTAATAAGTATTTTTTAAAAATAAACTGTCCAGAGGCCAGCAGATAGTGTGGCGGTTAAGGTGTTGGATCCCACCTGGCTGACTCCCCGGTTCAAGTCCCAGAGCTGACGGCTTGAAAAGCATGCTGTGTATGTGTGCATGCATGACCAAAATCAGGAGAGGAGAATGGAGAAGGGATTGCAGTGTGGCCATCCCTCCAGGGGGTGATTTCTCACTTTCCCCCTTTCTCTCTGTTTTGCGTATGTGGTCTATGGCAAATATCTTTAAGAAAAAAATGTAAATGTAAATTTAAAAAATAAAATAATAAACTGTCTATGTTATGTGAGACATGCTCATGCCCCAAAATTTCCCCAAGGTCCATTTTTACTTTGGATTTAAACCCAAGCCCTGTTTTCAGGGTTTACGTACACCTCACTCCATCCCACCCCAGCACACACACACTCTCTGGGTCTAGCTGCTCACGTTAATGATGCCCATCAATCCTTTGGTGGTCAGAGAAGGTATACAGAATTTCCTGTTTCCTCTCAACCTAATTTTTTCTCCATTCTTCCTACCCACCTCAAAGAAAAACACCAGTTTTCTTCAGGTTTGTGGACTGTGTTCATCTACCTTTGGGAAGGCAAATTGCTACAGTGTTTCTGGGGGTTAATTTGGCAACATATGTTTAAAAACTATTCCATAGAGTTGATGGGAAAAGAGAGAAGACCATGTGCAGTTGCCACGGTAACAGACAGATTCACAGATCCTTGAGGCCTTGTGCACCATTACTTCAGAATTAATTTTACTCTGGAGTCATCAAAGAAAAGTCTGCTCTTCATGACTAAGTTGTACAAAAGCTAATACCATCATTCAGCATCAAATTCAAATCCAGACTATGTTTTTAAAATAATTATTTACTTTATTTATTCATTCATTTATTTTTTAATTCGACCAGAGAGAGACAGAGGGTGAGCGTGAGAGAGAAAGTGAGAATGCAAGCCACCAGATTCAGGACTTGAACCCTGGTCAGCCATGTGGGAGTGTCCAGCGCCATTGGCTCCAAGCTTTCTACTGACAGGGAGGGGTTAAAAAATCCACCTCACAGTTAGTAAATACTTCTTAAGTAAGCACCCGACTTAAGCATCTAAAAATAATCCTTGTCTCCTGGAGTCTGGAGGGTTTTAAGTTTTGAAATGCAATAATGTTTTATATTTGCATAAAAATCTGACATCCCAAAGCAGTCTGCATGTCTAAAACTTTATTTTTTGAAATGCCAAGTTGAATTGGCATCTACTTAATAACATCCAGAGACAGCAAAGAATAACACTGGCCTGATCACACAGCAGAATGTGCAGCAATTAGGAAAGATTGTCATTTTCTTTCTCAGGAAAACAGGGCTAAATTCTCATTGAACTCAACTAATGAGTGAAAGTAACTTTCCAACGATTTCCTCAGTGACCCTGCCTACATCTGGCTAGAGGGAGGATTTCAGGGGAGGGGACAGCAGCTCGAAGAATCCCAGAATGCTTAAGCTGGAAAGTACGCTACCATTTGACCTAATCACATATTTTAAAGAAGGGGAAACTGACACCCAGTGAAGTGATGTGAACTGCCCAACACTGCCCAATGAACTGGTGACTGAGTGAGCTCTCAAACACAGGTCTTTCTGTTCCTATTTTTACTGCATCTTCTACTGGCCTTCTCCTCTCCCCTCTGGCTCGCCACCGGGCTGTTACTGCCCAGTAGTCGTAGAGTGGCAGGTGGTGTGCTACTCAGGCAGACTTTGTTTGCTTTCATTTTCACTGCAGCCTTATGAGATGCTATTTCCTCTTTTACAGATGAGGTACCTGAGCTTCAGAGAGGTCAAGTTACGGGACACAACCTGGAAGCCAATTTATTTTACCCTGAGTCATATCATCTCAATTATTCTAGTTGGCTGCAAGCAAGTCTATCATGCCTCCTCTTCAACTTGCCTGTTAGCTACCCATTGGGTTATCTGGAATATACTGTTTTTGTTTGTTTGCTTTATTATTATTGTTTTAAGGTGTTTAGGATTGGGGCCATCAGGAGGCATGGTAGTTAAGATGCTGAATTCCCATATGGTTGACTGGTTTGAGTCCTGGACCCAGTGGCTTGAAAAATCATACCTGGTACATGCACGTGCATGCCCAAAATCCAGAGAGGAGAATGGATGTGAAGGGACTGCAGCATGGCCAATCCCCAGCAGGGGGATAAAGGGGCTCTCACTGTCTCTCTCTGCCTTTCTCCAGCAAGCGCACATGCCCTATGGCAACAACTTAAAAAAAGGTGCCTGGGTACACGCACCCCACGTTTTGGAAGCAAAACTTATTAACTACTCCTCTATTTCTTTTTCTTTGTATACATTTTGTAAGACACATGGCAGTATTTTCACTCATTCCTAGGTAGTGAATAAGCCTAACTGACATACGAAGGGACTTCAAGACGTTTATAAAAAGCAGAATTAAAGTATGAGCTTATTGTGATGCAAAACAAGTTTTTTTTATCTTTTTTTTTTTTTTGGAGAGATTTTCACTGTAGGGCGCGTGCGCTCGCCAGACAGACAGAGAGAGACATAGAGACAGAAAGCGAGAAATCACCCCCCAGGGGGGATGGTCACGCCACAATCCTTTCTCCTCCATTCTCCTCTCGGGATCTTGGGCACGCACGCACACGCGCCCGGTGTGAGTTTTTTTAAGCCACCGGGTCCGGGACACGAACTGCGGTCGACTACGTGGGAGTCCAGCGACATAGCCATTATGCTAACTGCTGGTTCCCGCAAAACAAGTTTTGAAATCAATGTATAGTTTGTTCACAATAGACATTATCCATAAACTTGTTGAAGACTCCTCATATATGCCATCAAAACTTCCTTTCACCGAGTGTCTGCTACGTATCTTGGAGCCGAAATGTGTTATCTCTAATCTGCACAAAAATCCCAGTAGTTAGAGATGACATCATTTGCTTCTTTAGTATCTTCCCTCCCCTCAAATAGTTATCTCAGTTATAAGGACCTAATAGAGGCTCAATATCACATGACAGATTTAATTGAATTGGCACCAGTTTTCCTGGATCTCATCATTAATCACTGGCTTCACTGTCTACAGAAGGCGAGAGCCAAAGTCCAGGCAACTGCAAAGTGCCATCTCGAAGCAGCAGGGCGCATGCCCCACCAGGCCCGTGTCATGGAGCAGACTGTGGAATCTCATCGCCCGTCACCTTGGAGCCAGCACTCTTCCTCCTCCAGGTCTGAAATATGTGGCTTCCCCCGGTGCACTAGTCTCCTACACCCAGACTGCCTCGCTTCTGACAGCCTCCTCTTGGAAACGGGCTGGGAGCCTGCCTGCTGTGCTTGGAATTGATGTGACTCCAGACCCAAACCAAGTGTAGTCTTTGTAGCCAACTTGAGAGAAAGAAGTGAATAGGATAGCAGGGGAGGAGGCAGAGGCAGAGAGGGAAGAAAGACTTGTTGAAAGGTGAACGAGATCTAAGGAAAAGAAAAAACTCCATTTTCAAAGGCCTTGGGCAAATCTATTTCTTTGTTAATCTTGAAACTCCAAGTGGAGAGCTTTGAGGTATCAGGCCTCTGTGGAAGTGAGTCTTACTTCAGTGCTCATTTTCTCTTCAGCTTTTTGCTGAAGACAGTGAGAAATAGAAAACAATAGGAGAGTTAGGGCTCTGTCAGCCTTACTTGTATCAAAAGAAAACAATGAGCCCTGAAGATATTCAAAACCTTAATCACTTAAAAAGACTTTTCCTTTTTTGGTGGAAAGATGTGTCTTCCATCCTGAGAGGCACGATCAGTTGCTGTGTTGTGGCTCTTTGGTTAGTAAGAAAGTTTATCACCCTCTTTCTCCTCCAAAGGAAGATTGAGGATACACCTGCTCATGGTGATTTACTGGACTGTGCACAGTGTAGATAAAAGTAGACATTATTCCAGACAATGAAAACTAAGTATTTAATGCTATAAAAGCAACTAGCAATGTACCTGCCACTTACTGGTTTTCCAAAATCGGTGAACAGTCTTCCTCCTTGCTATGGAGATATCCATAATCTAATATAAGAGCTGATATTGAAACAGATTCAATCTTTTAAACTCTATGAATGGATCACTAAGCAAAGTAAATAAATACTATACTTAAATTATATCTAAGCCAAAGACCATTTTATAGAATTAAAAAAAAAACAGATGAAAAGGCCAGTGTATATTTTTTTTTTAATTTTATTTTATTATCATCATAATCTTCTTTCTATTACACTAGATTACATATAACTTTACATTGACTTCCATTGCTTTTTCAAAATGGGATGCCATGCATGTCAGTCAATACAGAGATATCAATCTCCCCACTTTATCATTCAATATCTTTTCCATGCTTTTCCCAATAATTGTTATTATTATTTTTTTTAAACAATCAATCACTATTTCTCATTTTGCTTATTAAAAAGACTTCACCCATCATGAAATACTTCCCAGACCGGTTCAGTTGAGAATACTATACATGTCATCATCAACAGGTAATAAACCATATCTATTTCTCATTAACATCCTGCCTCTCTATTGTTCACTACTGTCTTTATCCTCTTCTCTCTCCTTTTATTTTTTTTGTACTTTGTTTTTTATTATATCTTCCAAAAGGGAAAAGACAAAGCAAAATATTGCCAAGCATAAGATGTTATATCTTGCATGTAAGAACTCTAATGTTCCACATTTGACGAACCTGTGCTTGGTGTTGAAAGGTCACCACATACATCACTAAGAAGTCAAGCAGACAGTAAATTCCAATACTTTATTATAAGCATTGAAATCATATTTATAGAATTCTTCAGGCCAAGTTATTTTTCTACCCCTTTAGCCTTCAATGTCTACCAGAACTCAATGATTACAATGTTAGTTTTGGTAGGAAGATATTTATAATTTATCAAAATATGGTATATCATCCAATCATGAAGAAGATTGTTGTAAGCACTAGCTTTTCAATGCATTTTTAAAATATCAGATGCTTTCTAGTTTTAAATGCATTAAAATGAAATTATTTAAAGTGACACATGTTATCCTGGTTTTAGCCGGGAGTAATGGCAAAAGTCTCTCTTTCCTTTCAAAGTCCTTTGTCCAAGTATAATATTACTTGTGACAGAGAGTGAAGCCTTTATGATGAGATAGATTTGAATCCTGGAGGTATCATGGGCATCTCCATAACCTTGGGAAAATTATTTAACCCTTCTAAGGTTTAAACTTCTTAATCATTAAAAGGGTGGTTTTTATCTACCACATTGGATTTTATTTTTTTTAAAAAGTGTAAATAGTATAATTGGCCTAGTTCTGCTATAGACAGCTATCCTCCAGAGTGGTCATTGAAAATGCGATACCTGCGAGTAGAGGGAGAGGGGTCACGAGTCCAAAGTTTTTAACAATAGGGAAAATAGATTCCATTCAAGGTTGGATCAAGTGTGGGTCTCGTGCAGTTCCGCAACTGTAGGTGAGTCTCCATGGAATACAGTTTCAGGAAGGCGGTTCTGGCAAGCAGAGTTGACCATCAGTTGATGCGGCACAGCAGCCATCTTGTGGTTAGCAG